AGGGAACCACTGGCGAGTTTTGCGGGTCCAGGCTTCTTTTTTCGCTGCCGGAACTCGTGATGCGTGCGAACATCCCGAAGAACATTTTCAGAGTGCCAAAATGCCAAACTTTTGACTTTGGATCGGGGATTAAAGTGGATTTTGGATTGTAAAACAGGGTTGCCAAATGCAAGTGACAAAAGATCACGCGTGATCGCCAAGAAACCTCCAACCGCCTCTCGCCAGCCACCAGCCGCCTCTCGGTGTGTCTGAACGGGGTAGCTCGCGAACCGCATCTGCAACCGCTTCGCGAACGCGGATCCGCTTCCAGTGTGAATGCGCCATTAATGTGGGCATCGAGGCAGACATTCACATCCCTTCATTTAGCGTTTGTGCGCCATGACGCTTAGGCCTTCTCGCAGCTACCGGCGCCTCAACCACACCCCGCCATCCATCCAAACATATATCTTTGCCTTGTCCTATGGCTAATAAACCCATGTTACTACGAGTACTGTGCCGAGATGATCACGACATGATTCAAACGAGTACGACACGTTTTTGAGCGCCATCGTGAGCAGGGCTTGCGGCGCTCATCTTGAGCGTAATATTTAAATCGGGCTAAAAACGAGGAATCGATCGATTATTTTCTAAAAAAATAACCTCTTCGAAAATTTAACAATTTGGTCTTACCTCCCATAATAACTACTAAACACTCCAGTTTTAACATAACCCCGGAAACCAAGACTAAAAAGTTAATTACTATACTTCAGTTAATTAGCCTATTTACCGTGACAATTATTCAATTATCTAATGCTGGCGAAACCTGATAAATAAATGGTAAAGACTGCACTCGCTTAACCGTCACCCAGTTTTGAAGACAATATATGTTGGAATTAAAAATAAACACCATGTATATTAGTAGAAAAAACATCAAGTTTTATAGGTACTACACGCCCAAACGCCACTAAACATCATCCGAAACTACGCTACCTATAACTACTGCTTCATTATAAGCCAAAAAGCAGGAGTCGACCGAATCGCTACTTCGACAGGCAACACGAAGCACAACAACTCGATTCACTCAACTCCGGAGAGCGAGTTTGTGTCATTGACTTAAAGCGAACCGGAGTTGATCAGATGAAGTAAAAAATGCCACAATCGTACTGGATAACATCCGAGGGTAAATATATAAGAATACGTCGCAAGCATCTAGTTCCTTTCGCCAACATATCAGAAAAACAAAACGTCGATGTAGAATTGTCCGCAACGGCCTTGAGGCTTGAGGAAATTTTGTACCGACTCCTCGCATGAACGCACTTTTCGCTGGCGCCGCGTCAAAGAAGACGCGACCTCCGATATCTTTCTGACTTGTGAAAGAGGCCGCGAACCACCGTTCATGAGTTGCCAGAGCCCAAATATCCGCTTTTGTTGCACTGTAACCTTAGCGCCCTGTACCCTCGTACCCGAGCTGTCGTTTTATTATTCTGACTTTCATTCAATGAACCAAGACTACTTCACTCTTCAACCTGTAGAGAGGGTGCGAACGTTCATCGAACCTGGATTTCAAAGATCAAACTAGGCGGTTCGAAAGGTAAAAAAAATGTTTAAAAATGTCGATTTTATTACATTTGAAAAATTTGACGATTTTGAATTTTCAAACTTTTTGCACCCAGAAATTTGAATGTTTTCAAATGTTATATATTTTCCGCGAAGAAATCGACATTTTCCGAGTTTTCGTGCTTATCGAGCAAATAAATTCAACAATTTTAGAACTTTCGAATCTGCTGATCTTAAAACTTCAACGAAGTTCAAGCCAGGTTTCCCACCGATCGATAAAGCCAACAAATATAAATAACACATGTTACGAGAGTGCGGAGTGGATCCGAATTTGCACTGGAGTTTCACCTCACCGATCGTGCCACCAACGACTCGCTTTTTGCGCTCTAAATGGTTGCTTTGGGGTAGACTTGACCTCGTGCTTCGTAGAGTTTTCATCAAACTTCCGCAGAGTTTCTCACGTGCACAACTCCGCAGGTTACCTCGAGGTGACCTGTGGGCCAGCGTATCCCTTGCCTACTGATTTAGAATTCAACCGAGGCACCGAGGTTTTTCGCTGAGAAATTTTTCATGACCTCCTTTTTTATTTTTTTAATGCAAAGGCTCCCGACTTCCTCGATTAAGGGACTTGCCAAATAAATGTGAGGGCGGAGCGCGGCTGCGACGCGCGACAGTAAACGCTGGATCGGCGATTTCTTTGTGAGCATTAGTAAGCTAATACATTTTAAAATAACCAACACCCCCATTCGCAAAACAGAAAAAAATACGGACATTGGCAATATGCTGGTGGCTGGAAATTGTTATCTGGGCCGGGTTCAGATGACGTCCGGTCTTTATCTGAAGAGCCGTATTTTCGGGGGTCTGGTTGCGCTCTCCTCAACCCTGAGCTGTGCCGGGTACTGTGCCTGTATCCAGCGCTTTCTTCGTCCAACATCCCTCCGAAACTAAAGACCCAGACGAACTAAAAACGCTCGGAAGTCTGATTAAAGTCGTGTGTAGGCATCATCACGTATAAATTGCTATATTAGCATAAAATTTAAGCGACGCTTGTTCGGATTGCTGTCAGTATGCAAAGATGTAGGGAGTACGTTTATCAGGGCTTTTGAGAAAGTGTTGGATCAGTTCAAAGCTTCTTTCATTAATTACGGTAAATTACGAATAGCACAGGTAGTACCCAAGTGCAACTGTACCGAGAGAGGGTTATTTACGGTATAAAAGAAATGTGCGACATTTTCAGTGAAATTTGCAGCACATTTTGCAAATCTTTTTAGTGGTATCCGCGTAAAATGTATTCTAAAACGCGGAATACGATCTTCGAGGGTAAATTCCAAGACTGCAAACTTAAATTCGAAATCGATATGCTTTTTAAACCCATATCTCTGGGGAAATTGAGAACTTCATATTTTTCAAACTTGAAGCTTAAGAAAATTAGAAAAATCAAAATTTTAAGTTTTAATTGTGAAATCATTCGAAAATATTAAAATTGAAACTTACGAAACCTTTATTTTTTTTTTTTTTTAGTCAAGCATTTCAGTAAAAAAGACGGAAGTCCAGAGAACGGGACTGGGTATCTCTAAAGCCGTCAGGTGCCGCCAACATACACGCAACAGACACATGAGTTCGACTCAAAGATGCGTCCGCCCCATGGTGTACGGTGACGCCTGCTCCTGGCCACCAGTTGTTCGTGACCGGGGCGCCGGGCTCGCCTCGTTTCGCGGCGACATCCCGGCCGTCCAACGCTTCCCGAACAGCTCGGAGCTCACGGCGAGAAGGCGGAGCATTTTGGCCCGCGGCTATGACAGCCATCGGGGTAGGATGGGCAAAGGAATCCCCACAACGTATAGCCGGGATACAGGCAAGCTCGTCTAATGCCGATCGTTTAACTCTCCAGCATGGACAAGCCTAAAGACGAAACTTCAAAAACAACTTTTTTTGTTGTTTGTATAAGGCGTCGTGTTTGTAGGTTTTCAGTCTTGAACCCCACATTACAAGGTCAAAGAGGATTGGCTCTGCATCTGAGTTATGTTGTCTTCTGAGCGGACAAAATAACAGGCAAAGAGGATGATTACAGAGATGAGACACTTCGAGGCCTTTAAAATAAGCGTCTTTGTCGGCAGCATCAACCGAACGCACTTTGGCATATTCAGAGCTTCATCAAGACGACCGTGCCACAAAAAAGACTAACAAAGGTGACTGCGAAACTCGAAATGTTTCATGCCTCAGCGAATGTATACCTAGGGTTCTGTGTTCTCGGTACATAAGGATTAATTCAAAATATTAGCTTCGAGCGTTTTTCGGGGAGGCCAGAAAACACCAAGAATAAAGCTTAAAGAGAAATAATCTTAATCAGCTAATATATTTCATATTAACTAAGATCACACCTATGCTAAATTATCATTAAGTCTGCTTTTTTACAGCGGTCACTGTTAGTGACTATTCTGACAAAACATGTTTAAGCGCAAATGCAAAACGCCATCCTACAGCAAATGTACTGCTCTCCCTCTTGTCGTTCATTCTCAGACACGGCAAAACTCTCTCTCGCTCCCCTTCTTCCCCCTGTAAGGATGCGCTACTCCCAAAAAGCCCCATGGCCATGGGGAGAGCGCCCTTCGCCTCCCCATCGTTCGTGGTACATCCACGTGCCCTCCAGCGACGCCCTCCCTCCCTTCCCCTGCAGCCGCTGATACAAAATGCTCGCGTGGTCGCGCTCTGCCGGCACGCTTCCTTGCCTCCCCACTGCCGCCGCCCAGGTACTGTTCCCGTGTCTCTCCGCGCTTCTACAGAACAGTTCGCGTACGTATACGTTCGCTACTTCCGCCGCAGGCGCGGACATGGGCCGGCGGTAAAAGTTTTAAAAAAGCGTTTCAGCCCCCCCCCCCCCCCAAAAAAAAAAAAAAAAAAAGAAAAAGGAAACCGCATTACTGTGTCTTTTTTTAACACTTGCAACATATCGCCCAGTCGTTCCACCAAAGCACACAACTCCTCCCACACGACTATTATACAAAATCTACTGCAAGCAAAGAAGCCATTGCGAACGCTGTACAACACACTGGCTGAAAACAAATCTTTTTCGACGTGCTTTTCCACAACGTAGCACTTACCGCTGACTGTAGCAGGACATTTTAAATGGTCATTTGTATTTTCTTTCGGGACCACACCCCTTATCTGGTTCACTTCTCTTATCGGTATCGGGACAATTTCCAAGTATTGGGGACTCGCGCATATTTTCTGGACGTTAGGAAATGCTACGCGTGCCTTCAAATTTCTTACACTTAAACCCCTATAAAGGCCCATCTTTTTTGTCCGAGATCTAAAATTGAATTGAAAAATAAAATATGTGGAAAAAATGTAAATGGAAGAAAGTACTCCTAAGTTTGAAAGAAATTAACTTCGAAATCACGGCACCCTTAAAGTGCTACCATACGTAATGTATCATTTAATAATTAATATTCAACAATATGTGCTATTTTCGTACAAAATTTTATTGCACGTATTAATACTGACCTATTGCCGCTGAATATTTATTTACATCACCCCCGTGCCCAATAGAAAGAAATTACCCTGTTTTTGTCTCTTATTTTACTCGTTTCTCTTCATATTCCAAGCGCGGAAAGCTAAACACAATATCAAAGCCCGTAAACACGGGCTCAGAGGTTCGGGCAGGAATTCCAGCGGTGGTACGTGGGCCCGAACATCCACTTGTCCGGATGGCCGTCGTGTAGATCTTGGAAGCCACTCGTGCTCCATTGGAAGGGCGGCAGCACGGAGCCGTCGGGTTGGAACGTGGGCCCGTTTATGGCAATAAACTCGAGGCTTTTAAACATGGCGTAGTTGGTGAGCTGAAATAAGAGAAGAAATAACGTCACCAGTGCGTTTGTTTTGCGTGCCTGGAGTCACTGACAACTTAAGAAGTGCGAGGTGAGGCTGATTATGTATACGGCTCTTGCTTCGTTCTTCGACGTTTGTATCGGCTAATTAATCAATTAATGAATCAACCAATCAATCAATCAGTACATGTTTTTTGTCCCCGAACAGCTCGTAGATCTTAAAGTCGCAATGACATTGCATGCGTAGCGGCGAGAAGATGTTACAGACTCGCCACGCCCTGCTTAAATTAAAAAGTCATTAACACCCGCCCCCCCAAAAAAATTTAGTTTACACTTTTTTGCCAGGCGAATGAATATTGTCAGGAGGCTACCCACTTAATATTTTACTAGAGTCCCGCATATTTTTTATAAAGCAAAAAAAGAGAACTCAACTGCTCGAACCGAAGCCGAAACACGAGCACGGAAGCTCAAGGCCGGAAGTCACGTGGCTGCACCCAACCGCGTTTTTTTTTCTCCGCTTCTCCGGCGTGTGCAGCCAACACCTACTAGCCAGCTTTAAAGCCTGCCCGTTACGTCACATGACGTCACGTCCGGGGGTCCCGCACGGGTGCTGATTAGATGCGAGTGCCGCGTCAGCGTTCCCGTGAGACTATGATAGGAAACGAGCCCCACGCGGACGCTGTCGCGGCCCTCGCGTCCAATCAGCACCTGTGCCGGACCCCCGGACGTGACTTCATGTGACATAACGCGCACGCTTTGCTGTCTAGGAGGTGTTGGTGAAGCAGACGACAACGAAGTCGCGTGCACCGTTCGTCGTGCGATTGTTTCCCACTTATATCCCTTCCGCTCGATGCTCTGTGTTGAAGATCGATTGGCCGGTACCAGGAATGCCAGTTCCGAAGTAGCGGCACCACTTCCGTTGGAACGTTGGTACGTGGTGCGCCGCCATCGCGTGGTCCAGCCCGCGGTACGTCTCCATATTGAGAATGACGTGTTCATATACTTCCTGCGATTGTTGCAACACGGTTTTTTTTTTTCTTTGTTTTTTTTCAATCAATGTATTTGCAGATTTCTGGAGGCTACAAAAATTATGTTCGCAATATTTTCTATTTTTAAATTTGAATGTACGCCTTAGATGACACAAGACTTAAAATATATTTGGTACACGTAGCTTGAACACCACGTGACAATAGAAAAGAGAGTGAGCGCGACTGAAAAGGACTAATTCTCGACCGACGGTTTTCGGACGTAAAGAATGCGAATTTCAACTCGCCAAAAATCTTCTGGGCAGTTGGGCTCTTATAGGTTTTGTTCAAATAAAACCCTCGGCGAGCGTAAATACCCTGTCAGTGTACCTTTTGGCTGAATAAGGGTGACGATGTCGGTTAGTTGGTTCATACTGACGAAAAGGCAAACAGCGCACAGTAAACGTTGACTAAAAAAAGTGCAAACAGGACAAGCGCTGACTCTCAACTGAAATCAACTCAACTCAACTGGAGCTGTAGGGGGGCATCTTCCATTGCATTGTCATGGATGTGGGTGCAAACCTATCTTCAGTGAGACTGGTATCATTGGCAATGGAAGGGGCAGAGTGAATAGAGAAACTTTAGAGGCGCATGCAATTATCAAAGCAGGCGCGAACTGCGTAAGCCAAATATCACTGGGCTTGAGTAGTAAAGAGATTTTTTTTTTGGACACGTGGTGAATGTATCATGTGACGTGGGCGGGGTTGCTGTTTTCTTCGTTTTGTTTTCATCTGATTAAATTTCAGTTGAGAGTCAGCGCTTGTCCTGTTTGCACTTCCTTTAGTCCCCGTTTACTGTGCGCTGTTTGCCTTTTCGTCACCTTTTGGCTGACGGTGACATTTTTTAGAAGGCCTGCGAGCTCGGTTTTCGGCTGCACGCGGAAACAGCGACTCACGGCATAGAGGAGTATTCCCTGAAATGAGAAAGCTTGAAATATAATCAAACAAAACAAGGCTCAATGCGCGCAGGGACTATGAGCGGTACATTACTTTGGGTTTTTTGCGCATATCGCAATTTTTTAGACCTCATTCATTTACGAGTTCGTCATTTATTGAGATCGTTCAACTGTTCGCTGCGGTTGAATGTCTTTACAGTCAGCAGAAAAGTCTGAAACAGACGCGCCTTATATTCCGCAACATAAACCATTCAGTGTACGCTACTCTTCTTCAGACCATATTAACATTTTCGATGGCCCTACTGCGAATCGTTTTAATCAAAACAATGCAGAATTTATATAGTTACTGAAATATTAAGGAGCGAAAGTCGAATATATTATGTTCATGTTCATTGCTTCGTTGTTATTGACTAATATCGCAATCCCTTAGGCTGCAAAGCGCTAATTAGTTCCTCGGAAGTTACCACGTACTTCGTAAAATATCGGTGATTATACTCCTTTTGATTGCTTGAACACATGTCGTGTGGCAATTTAGGCATTCGGATATTCGTTACAATTCTCGACCACGGCGTAGCATTTTTTTTCTGGGTCACCGGAATGGTGTTCCCAGAAAAAAAATAAACGTTACGCCGGCGGTGAAAATATTTTTTTTTTATTTAGAAAAGCTGCTACTCACATGAAGATCATAGCAGGTGGGATACAAACATAATGAAACTTAACACACCAGGTCAATTATACAGGCACTCACATCCTCAACCACACAGTAGCAAAACACAATAAATTATACTAAGCGCGCGACAAACAAATAAAGATATCCCAATTCCCCTGTCTCTAGGAGAAGCCCGTTCCATAGCTTCACAGTACGTGAAAAATAAGAGAATTTGAAACAATTATTACAAGGCATGAGTAGAACTATGGATAAACTATGTTTTTGTCTTGTATAATAGCCTTGTGAAAAAGTGATGTCGTCATTCATATTAAATTTAAAATAAATAATCTGATGTTAAAAGTTTAATCTGCATGCCCGATTCCTTTTTGTCATTGACTGTGGACAAGACTGTGTACTGATGTCCTTCGACAGGTATTAAATATAAACCTAGCAGCTTTGTTTTGAAATCTGTTTAATTTCGCTAGTAATTTCGCTTCAAATGAAGCTTCAGAGTTATTTTAAGAAAGAAGAGCCTACGAAAGGAATTTGAAGTAACGTAATCAATATGTTTATTCCAGTTGAGGTGGTTAGTAATCCTAATCCGCAGATATTTTTACCTAGAACCCACTACTACGTTTTGGCTTCCCATGTTATATTTAAACAGAAGGGACTTATTTTCGTGAGTAAAAGACATAAAAACACATTGTTCATAATTTATGCACACTTGCCAAAAGCTACGCCATTTAATTATCAGACCTAGACCTTCATTTGACTTATAATGATCACTAGAACCATTCACCTCGTAACAAACCACACAAACGTCAGCATACAACCTCAAGTTTCCAGAAATATGGTTCACAATTTTTTTAATAAATAGCAAAACAAAAGAGGCCTTAGAACTGATCCTTTGGAAACCCCCGAGTCAACAGTCACCCTATCCGAAGTAGCCTGCTAAAATCTGCGTATTGCTGTTTATTAGAAATGTACGCCCGAACCCAATATACTAGTTGATAATTTCTTAAGATTTCGTGCAATTCGGCAGCTAGCTTGCTATGCGAGAGCTTCTCAAAGGCCTTCGCAAAAAAAATAAGGTCAATCTGACCGCCTTTATTTATGGATGACGCAATATCATGTGTCATTTCCATAACTGTGTGTTTGTGGAATAGCCACGCCTGAAACCATGTGGCCTTTGGGATAGAACTGTATTCTTTTCGAGAAACTAAAAAATATGGGTATGAATAATATGTTCGAGTTCCTTGCAGGATGTACAAGTAAGCAAAATTTGTCTATATTTGGCGACGAGGCGCTTATTTCCAAATTTATGTAAAGCTATATCTTTAGGTGAGTTCCATTCCTCAGATAGAGTGCCTTCACAGAAAGATACTTTAATAAAGAAGAAATAAAAACATAAATACCCATTCAGCGTACCGCCTAAAAATGCATTAGGCAAGCGATCGGGTCCCATATACTCCTTTTCGTCTAGATTCAGGGACATATTCAAAATCCCACTCTCATTCTAAACTAGATCTGAAATACTAGGCAGGCTTTCATTCATTATACAGCTTGGCGCTTTTGCATTATCATTTGTAAAAAAAGATCTAGAATGATCATTGAAAGAATCTTCAATCGCACTATTATCATTGATAACGAGTCCTTCAAAATTAAACGTATTAGTGCTAGGGGAGGACTGATTAAGGTGCCTCTAAAACTTTTCCGGAGGAGTTCTAATAAGTTGACTAAGTGTACCATTGTGATACTTGTACTTATCTGAATACATTTCAGTTTTTAATTTATCCGACAGCCTCAATATTTTGCTCTTGGTCGTAGAGAAACCATTTTTGGATATGCTTTCCTTCTTCGATTAAGTTGACGCTTCAAGTGTATCGAGTCACGTGATATCCAAGCATTTTGGAGGTTAGTCTTTTCAGTTTTACTTGGAACAAAGCGTGATATACAGTTCTGAAGAAGGTTTTTTAACATAATACCACATTGAATTGGCATTACAACCATCAGAGAACGAAAAGTCATGAAATTGATCAAACTCAAGATCCAACAAGTCAATAATGGGAACGTCATCCGCTTGATGAAAATCCAACACATTACACTCCCTCAATTTTGTTGGCATATTTATGTTAGGTAATGAGAGAAAAAACACGGCAATATGGTCTTAAGTACGATCATCAACTTCACACTCGTGATTACTTCCAACTTCGCCATTCACCAACACAAGATCTAAAATTGATTCGGAGCCACATTGTACTGTAGTAAACTCATTTACGACTTGGCAAAAATCAAAAGTATAGTTAATGTCTTCAGTTTCATTGCTGTGTACAGTGTGTACAGCACCAGCCGAAAAATGAAGCCAATCAATATTGCGCAAGTTAAAATCTCCGTAAAAAATGACTTTTGTGTTCAACTGTACATGCTGTGTTAAGTAATCTTTAATGTTCTCTGGTATCGAGAGTGGGGAACTTGGAAGCCTATACACCGCCCCAAAGATATACAAATTGTTATGAAAATATGCTGTACGAATAATTGCCTCCACATCAGGAATCTCATCCGTTCTCAAAAGCTTAATATCTTTGTCATAGAGGGTTCCAGCACCCCCTCCTCATGAATCTGTCTTTACGAAAAATGTTATACTTCGGCAGGATAAATTCACTGTCAAAATTATTGTCCTTCAACTGCGTTTCAGTGAAAACTACAATTTTTCGTCAATATAATAAAACTAGATGCTCAAGTTGTAGCATCTTATTTACTACACTCCGACAGTTGACATATATAATTCCGAGAACCCTCGGTCTAGGGTCACGATATGAAACGTTGATTGCATTATCTTGCTCAACTATTCTAGCAGTTGACACAACCCATGTATGCACCTTTCCGTTTACTACTGCCTTATTGTAGATCATATTCACGTTTTCTTTATTTACTCGGTTTACAGCAGTACTGTCCCATAGATGCTTACGAATTCCATGAACCGCAAGCAAAAAGTTTTCCGTCAAACATATTTTCGAACCCTTCAGTCTGCGGGAGTTTTTCAATATGTATAACTTTTCTCGATAATCAATAAGCTTCAAGGTGACAGGCCGTGTCTTATCGGCAACCTTTCTACCTAATCTAGGTCAACGTTTAATTCCCGCTATCGAAATTCCAAGCCTATCAAAGCAGACCAATAATCAGTTTGTCATGCTGGCTATCTGCAGATTCACCTTGCAGTTCTTCCAAGCCAAGAACAATAAGGTTGTTTCTACGGCCTCAGATTTTTAAGTAATGTATTTTACTTTGCAAAAAGGAACCGCGCTTTTCCAACTAAAAAGCATGTTCCTCGCACCTGTGCATCTTCTTTCTTAACTCTTTAAATGTTCTCAGAGTTAATGCAAATGTCTATAGACGATCTTAAGACGACGACATTTCTGTTCCATGCTTGTCTGGGCAATTTTAACCTCCTGTATACCTTATGTAATTTCGTTTTGACTTGTAATAAGCTGTAAAATTAGTTCCCTATCAGATCGGCCAGGGTTCGATTCAACGTCACTACAAAGTTCGAATAAGTTTACGAAATCATTCACACATTCCATCAACAACTGTTTACATCCTTGCGGGCAAGGCAGCAGGACAAGAAACGGATCATTGCTACGATAGTTCTCAGTGGGATACGCAGGACCAACCTGTATAGCAAAGGAGACGTGCGTGCTTTTTATCATTGACGGGGTACTGCCACCTTGCCCACTGACGAACTTAGGTAGCCCGTTCGGTGTCGTGGTTATCATAAATGTCGCATGATCTATAATGTATGTGTGTTTGTTTCTAATGCGCTTGGTAAATCTTTTGAAAATAACAATTTAGAAAATTTGACATATATTGTTTACATAATCTCGTAATAACTATGGTACTACCCTTATAACGCGTCTGTGGAAACATTCCGATATTGATTTTGACTGAAAAATACGCTCACTTGGTTATTTTGACATTTAAAATTAAAAAAACTGGGCGTTATCAAAACTGTACTCCTTGGTAAAAAAAATTCTTTCGCAGCGAAAAAAAGAAATTAATGCATGTTTTAATAAAATTGCTATAGTAACCGTTTGTTTATGCTCCAACAATCTTAGACTTTGATGTTTCTAACAAAAACCCATACAAGGTGCACGAATAGGCGCGTAATAAAATTGCAGGAAACTGTAAGAGGAAACAAAAGTACAAACAAACCGTTCGTAGGAGTATCAACCCTCCGAACGAGAGTGTAAGCGGCGACGTCTATTGCAGAGGATCTGCAGCATACAAAACAAAATAATAACACCAAACAAAACCACCCAGTGGAAAATGACCAGGTTAAACCTAATGCAAATTTGGTTAACGAGGATGGCAAAATTTGAAGAGCTAGACTAAAACGGGACATAAAAACGCGCTTTAAATAAACAGAACTGCTGAAAAATATTTCTAGGGGGCTTGTACGCGTTACTAAAAAAATAAGGATTTACATTACAATTACCCAAGGCTAAATTGTTACTAATTACTGCTAAAATTATTCTTCCATAAGTGTAAGTGCCCATTGCTTCAAAAAGTAATCCGCTACTCTGGCAGCTTTACATCTGATTTACATACTAGGGTAAACAAACTATTACAGGCACGTTTACTCGACCAAACGCGATGAAATGCTGTAGCTTTAAAGGAACTTCGTTAGGGAAAAACAATAGGGAAAGGAAATGGTATGGTTATAAAATGGTTGTAATATGCCATGGACACATCGAAGGCGACGTAAAGGACAGCGTCTAAGAAGACGTCAAGGTCGAACTCTAGGACGACCTGTAGGATAAATTCTAAGACCACTGCACTTGCGACGTCTGGAACGACCTCTAGGACGACTTCAATGACAATTTCTAGAACGTTGTCGACGACGACGTCAAGGACTTCAGGTCACGTGATCTTCATCTAGTGACGTTTACGAGCTTACGTGACAGGCACTTACGTGGCGTTGATTACGCGACCTTGAGCCCAGCCACGGGCGTTACAACTATTAGAGTACATGACCTTGAGTGTCGTTGACCCTATAAAGCTAACGTTTTAAAATGGAATGTCAATATGCAGTTCAAAACATATGTAGCTCAGGTCGGCCGTACGCCGTACCACAGCTCAGTGTTCTTTAGCAAAATATCAGGTGAGGCAACGGTAGCGCAGGGTCCCTCCCCTGCAACAGCCATCGACAGTGAAGTAGGGTATCTATTATTTAGCATTGTTGCTAAAGCACTGAAAAAGCTGACGTCAGCTATCTTTCTTTTAGATTAAGTGGTTTAAGGAAACCAAAAGCACCGTAAGATGTACATGGGCAAAATACGCATTGTACCGACCACGTGCCGTAATATTGTAGAAAAACAACAACAAAAAACAGCACAATTTTTATGTACATCATAAAAAGCTGATGCAGGAAACGGTTATAGAGATGTGGGAAACTGGAGCTCCCAGAAAAATGGGTGAAAAACCGCCTAAAATCAATAAACGGAAGTATTTCAAATAGCCAAATATAACAGGCGCGCAGAGGTCCTCTATACGAACTCTGGTGCACCTCGACAGTTATCTTTTTCAGAAATAAACATTTTGACCATGGGAGTTTCCCTTGTATTGTTTGCACCGAGAGCCCTGTACTTTATATCAGTGCGCTCCCCCCTCTCTTGTGGGCGAGCAAGCTGCAACTTGCAATATACGAGGCACAAAAAAAAAAATAACTGCGGTAGTAGCCAACGCGAAGATAGGGTTTGAGCGTATGAATACTGCTAGGTCCCGCGTTTTGTAAGTGCAGGTGACAATGTGAATTCGGTAGAGGTCATCTTATAATATATATATATATATATATATATATATATATATATATATATATATATATATAGTACTTTAAAAACGGTTTGTGTTCGGTGTTCAAAATTACCGCTTTTTTCTCCATGAAGGAAAACGAAAATGTAACGGATTACAATCATTTCCTTACCTATATATGTAAATAAATTACTTTACAATTATTTTGTAAAATATATATTTTCCCATACACAATTTTTGATAAATGTAACGGACACAGGTAATTTCGTTACTTGTGACGGGTTACGCACAAGTCTGCACACATGTAACAAAATAAACATTTTCCGAATCTTAACAAAAATGAGCGCAATATTATCATCGCGAGAAGCATTTTGAGCTAAAAGCAATCCTAAAACATGCTCCTAGTTTGAGATTCGGACACCATAAGAAAAGCATACTTCAGAATGTTTCTTAATCAAAACGACTCTCGCGACGGCATAATTGCACAATATATCTTTTTTTTCTTGTGGGGGGTGATAGTTTGTGACATGACACTTCGTGCTTTTAAAGGTTCAGTGACTCTTCAAAATGGTACAATTCTCATGGCGTATGTAGAACCATTATCCACCGATCATATATTTGGAAATGACACTCACCTTCATGTCTATAGCTCCGACTGCTCTGCGAAACATCCTTGGCACGTCGTAGCTGCCTTTTGTGTCCAAGAGGTCGTAACGGGAAGCAATGGCGTAGACGGGGTTGTACGGCGGCGTGCAGTTGCATCTTGACGCCGGATCGTGCGTGTAGTTATTGTACCTTGGGAACAAAAACGCGAAGGGGCGATGTGGCCAACGTCAGATTGCCACCAAATTTGTTATTTCGACGCATTACAAGGAGGAAATAATGTGAATGTGTGCAATGCTTACCAAAGTTTTACGGAACACGCGAGCTGTGCATGTCCTATTTCATGGGTGCATTGTCATGGCGGCTCCCGAAGAACTCCTCCATGATATCGCGTTTAATGGAAGAGCTCGAGTAAGGGAAGCGGCTCGCTCAAGGTCGAAATCACTGCTGGACCAGCGAAAAAACATCAAATTTGCTTGCCGGGCAATCTACGCTTTTTGACACACCTTCGCACTGCAATGCGTATGCGACTGCTAAATATGCCTTATGTGTAGTCTAGCTTCGATTTCTACCTTGAGCGAGCAGCCTTTCCTTCTCGGGCTGTTTCTTTCAGCCCAACGGCACAAAGAAGTTTAAATGATGCCGCCAGGATAGCCCTCTCGTGATATGAGACGCAGTTCGCGTGTTCCCTATAGGTTTGGCGCGCAGTGTACACCGTTGAGAAGAATCACCTAATCTATGGAAGACCAATTGCAAAATTCGAAACTCCTCGCTCAATTTAAAGTTTTTATGTTTTGCTTAGTCAGCGGCGATGATCTCCAAACTATAAGTAAAACATTACTCGAGGACAAAGTGAAGCAGGAATGTTTTGCGATCGCTTGAGATAGAACCGCTATATTCGAGGCTGCAGAAGGGAACAAAGTAAAGGTTGGGCTGTGTGGGGCGAATATCCGGCCAAGAAGGATCGAGCCACCGTAGCTGGCACGTTTGTTTCGTGCACAAACAAATGGTGACTAGTCTCACGCCACACCCAGAGCGAACATCGCCGGGCGAGATGTGTTGCTTTTTCGAAGCATATTCCATCCATGAAGTACATCCTTGAAAAATTATGTTGAGGCTACTCGCTGAACACTACTGAAGACAAGGGTTTCCCAGAGTTTATCGAGCAGGTATCTACTATCCCAAAGTATAACACTAATATGTTTGCTTTTCATTCCAAGATATTTAATAACGAGAGAAATCCTGCAAAGGCACCTATTGGTCTGTTCAGGTGAGTTATAAGGCAAGGTTGACATATTATTGAAGGGTAATTGTTTGAATAAGTTGGATAATTGGCTACAACTTCTTAAGTTCCTTTTTAATTATTTGAAAACAACAGAGTGTTCCAATTAAAACCTTGGCGGAGCAAGCTAGAAAAACAGTAAATTAGTTGGTTTTAGGAGGTGCGCTCAAGTTATCCCTCGTGCAATTGAAGGAATTATAGCTGTTCGAAAACGCGGATGTTAAGAACACCCTCCACGTCTTCGTACATCTAGCCTTGCACCTTTTGCAGGAGTGGTAATGCTAGCGTACCCCCGCGCTAGCCCCGTGCTTTGAGTCAATCTAAAACTAACTGATTTAGAGACTTTCGATGACGCTTCGAAGTTTCATAAAAACATTCATGTTTTTAACTACTTTAAAAAGTTACCCAACATTTTTTCATGATTACTAGACTAACCATTATGATTATCCCCCTATATTATATCCTTCTGGTTGTATAACTCACCTGCATACAGCAAATTAGGGTATCTTTAATGGATTTGTTCTAATAAATCTGTTCGAATTACAATTAAGCACATTTTACACCAAGGCGTCTCCACTACAGAAGATGACATGCTAGCCGAACGGTATGACGTCGACAGGATGCAGCAAGTTATCCTACTTGATCGGTACACAACATGCACGCAGTAAGAAAGAAAATACTCAGAAGTATTAGGACTTGGTCTATTTTTTAAAGAGGAGAAAAGCAGCAATATTTTGAACGGCCTTCGTCAGAAGTCCTTTCGCTAGTGAGCAGGTGTCACGTCTGTCAAAATATGTTTTCTTTTACTTTTCGCAACATACAACACAAACCTGAATTGAACCTCGAAATTTGTATGCGTTGCCTGCTGGAGTGCTGTCATTATTGCTCGCTTCAACTCGATATTGGAAAACTAAACGTTCAGAATTTATAATATTGAAGACTTTAACATTTCACGAAACGGCTATTAAGGGTATAAATGAAACTATATCCAGTCACGACACTTTACATAAATAGAAAGGCTAAAATATTCTTCCTTCGCAATTTAATCCTTGTTTTCGTGGAGGTTTCTGGTGAGAATGATATTAGAGAACTTTCAGAGAGGAAACATGATTGATGCAACTAGTTATTTTGTTCAAACTAAACATATACAACGCGATTCCCCAGCTTCAACGGTTTGATATGGTGTAATCACGGCTTTGACAGCATGTCGAAGTGCCCGGAGTAGATGAAATTGATTATACAGTTTCTTTTAGTAACCGGACTTCTGCGTGCTATTCCAGAAATATACTATCAGAAATGAAGTTCAAAGCTACCATGGGGTTGCACATTTTACAAATATAAATTGCTGTCGACTAGTTGAAGCCATTCTAAGACAGATGCAATAAAACGTTTGAGCTGGATTGTTTAGATGATTCAGACAGGCGCCAAAAAGCTTACCTCATGAGGCCTGACATGGTGTCAACATCTTCGACTTTGCTCTGCTCCCTCCTAAATATTTGCGCCCTAGGAGACATGTCATAGCTGTAATAATTTCCGTATTTCTTGACCATGTCTGGTTGACCGCTGATATTAAAGATGGCAGGAAAGAAGCTGAAATGTTAAAGAGGGTGATGAGGCACGTAAAGATAAACTTCGAGAGGAGACAACCGTTGGCGACACAGGCATTTGAGTCAATATGAAATAAAAAGGGTAATATTAAATAAATAAAAATTATATTTAGTTACATAAAGATATATTTTTCTAGATGATTTCGGGCTTCCCTCTGGCCAGTTAAGTTAATATTTTCTTACACTCATCGTCTAAAACAAACAGCGTGCCGAATTAATCTAAAAGAGCGATGAAGATATTTTAATATGCTACCTGAGGGAATGGTGTTAGTAGTATAACTTGTTGTTGGTCTATTTGGTGAACGTTTTTCAGAAAGGTGGAAGGCGCAAAAAACATCGCACACAAGGAAGAATACACGCAAAGGCGCCTTTGTGTGTCTTCTTTCTTGTGTCAGTATTTTTGCGCCCTACAACATGCTTCATTATGTGTTGGTGTGCTGCAATATTTTGTATTCTTTATTCATAAAGCTCCTGCGGTGCATGGCATGTTAGGGCATTATTGCAGGGGGCAAACATAAGTGCACAAAATGTTTCTGCATTTGCAGCACACACTGCTGTTTTATCCAATGCGTTCCAGTCTCTGACAATCCTGAGAAAATAAGAATTTTCGCACAGCTCAGTCCTGGTCTTATGCTCACGTATTTTGCGTTAATTATATTTTCGTTGAGTAAAGTAGTTACGGCTTAAAATGTAAGGTGATCAAATAATACCAGTCGTGTTAGGATAAATACTATAAAATAATTTTAAACGCTTTTTTTTTTCGAAGCTCTAGTGAACACCAACATAGTGATTGCTTCATATTAGTGACGCTTGCGGAACGGTCATTCTGGTCCAGGACAAAGGGAGTTGCGCGGATCTGCATTTTTTCTAGGCCTTCAGCATGATTATTCTCAGCAGTGTCCCACACAGTGCAGGCATAGTCTACAATTGGGAGCACATAGGTGAGGGGTGCGAGTCTTGTTTTCTGCGTGGCGTGTTTCAGGTTTCGTTAAACAAAGCCAAGTGCGCGACCCGTCCTCGCTGTTACACCATCAATCCGCGCACTCCACGTGCAGTCAGATGATGAGGCGATTCCACCATATTTTACTTTATTCTCATTCGCTACCAGCTCATCGTTCAGATAGTACTTAGTTTGCATTATTTTTTTTTTCTTACAAGTGAAACTGACATGAACACATTTTTTTTACTTTGAGCTGCATTTTCTATTTACTGCAAAAGTGTCAACTTTATGTAGATAAGCCTGCAGCTGTCCAGAACCCTCCTCATTTTTTACATGTGTAAACGCCACAATCATCGGCAAACAATTTTATTTGGGGCGTAACATCAATACGAATATCATTGATAAATATTAGGAACACTATTGGCCTTAAAACCGACCTTTGTTTTACGCCAGGGGTAACTTCAACAAAGTGGACGTTTCACTATTAAAAACAACACATTGTTTACGCGAGGACAAATAAGATATATCCATTTGGACAGTAGTGTCCATTTTAGACTTTCTAAGCTTTTAAGTATAAACGAGTGCGATACAGTCCCAAACGCTTTTCTGAAGTCAGAAAATACACATTAAACCTGCTGCCCCTATCGATAGACACAAGATCGTGATAAATCTCGGTCAGTTGTGTAGTGCGCAAAGAAACCTTTCCTAACCCGTGTTGAGATTGCAGAAACAAAAAATGTAAAGACTTAGATGCTGCATTATCTGGCTATATATGCTGTGTTCGAGCCATTTGCAACAGATGGATGCTAAGGAAATTGGTCTCTAATTCGTTCGTAACATTATTCTTGGCTCCCTTTCTGTGCACTGGGATCACCTAATCTACTTTTGAGGAGTATGGTGATGCCGCCTCAAGCAACGATTTATTTAATATTATAAAAAGATATGGGGCAACCGCGTCTGCACAGCGTCTTTTGTGCACTAGGTGATATCTGATTATGACCAATCGCTTTCGCTTCTTCTAAGGATGATATACGTCAGGACGCATATCATTCTAGTTAACTAAAAATGTTTTGGGGCGTTGTAATTCCCCGTGGCAAAAACACTGACTGAAAATGCTCTTTAAAGACACGTGATTTTTCAGAGTAATTAGTGATCAGCTCATTATTTACCAATATGTCAGGCATCCCAAACTGATCACCTCCACAGCGCTTCGTAAACTTCCAGACCTGCTTATTGTTGCATTTCATTCCATCTTCGAGCCGCTGGAGATAATCTCGTTTTGATTTGTTTATGGTTACTTGATACTTCACTGTTAGTTCTTTAAGCTTTGTGAGGATTGACTATTACTTTTTAGTTTTCCACCGGACGTATGCACGTTTTCGTCTTTTTATCAAGCGTAGCACAGTACTACTTATTCATGTTTTTTTTTTTGTTTTTTTACTTTAGGTGGCTCAATACTCGGAATGTACTTTTCTGTCAGCCGCATTACTAGATGCTTAGAAAGCACCCACGCATGATGGAACCCTATCTTTTCAGTGACACATTCAAAGAAAGGAAGGGCATGTTTGTACGGAAGGGGAAATTATGAGGGTATCACCTTGGAGGTTTGGGGAATCATCACATGTCCTACTATTTGTACTCAACTTTTTGCGAATTTTTATAAAAACAAGAGCCGTGATTACAGCATCATAATCGCTTATACCAGGTATGACCTAGATACGTTTAACGATGTCAGGATGACTCCACAAGAACGCGCCAAGTATGTTCGATCCACGCGTAGGTGCAAGGACATGTTAGGGGAACCGAAACTGTGAATCACGGACTTAATATCTACATTCAGTGGAGTCACTGTTCTACCATGCACGACCTTCCTCACTCTATGTTACGTCTGGAAGAGTAAAATCACCTCCGAGCAACCCACACGCATCTGAAACGCTAGAAACCAGTTTGTGTAGGGTGTTTTTACTAGGAGAATCAGAATTTGGCGGTCTATAAAATACCTCTACATTAACATTTGTGTTATCGGGCGGCCTCGCCCGACACCACAACGATTAAAAAAAATTCACAGCCATACGAACTTGATAACTTAGAGAGCCTAAAGTTAACTTTAGGCTCTCATGACTCTCTGACACACGCCAATATCGATATCGACGATGAAAATGTACTCACGCGACATTGTAGCTTCCCCAGTACTTTTTATTTTGAAGATATTCGCTCACATCTTTAGCCTTCGTGATATTTCTGAAAAAAATAGTACAGGTGGGATTATATCGCTTTTTCGCTGAAGATGATTTCGAACGTACGGCATCTGCTCGAGGATCCAGAGAGTATTTTTTCCGATGGCAGACCCTGGAGTAAAGAGTTTGTAGTCCAACACCATCCACTGATTATTGTATCTAAGGCGAGAAAAAAAATGACAGTCAGGGTGGAAGATACAATCGATATTAGCTACATGAAATATTTGCAGGGGTTGATAAACAAAAATAAAAACCGGTTACAATATTTTGCCAAGCACAACATTAATATTTCTAACATTTAACGTTAGGGTCCTTCATCTTCCTCATCTTCCGATTAAACCGTCAGTTGCGAGTAAGCGCTTGTCCTGTGTTGTCTCCCTCTTGTCCTTGTCTTTTGCGCTTTTTAATTTTCGGAACGATAACTCTCCTTGGAGAATGGAAGAAGGGGACAAAGGACAAATACAAAACTCCAAACACAACTAGGTGACTGGTGCAGGGTGAAAATATCCGCCGGGTCCTGTTATCGAACGAGGGACCGCTCCAACTCCACCAGAGCGCTCTACCAACTGAGCTAACCAGGAATTAGACGTCAGTAGAGCAAGCAGGTTGTATCATGCTGCCACCAGTCTAAAACCAACGAGAGTGAACGGCCTGCATTTTTTTTAAGTTCGTGGTGTTAATGCAGTTAATTCAAAGGTCCGGGCGAGCTGAGCGGAATAAACGATATTACCCGCTGGAGAAGGCGAACAAGGGCGACAAAAGTCAAGCACAAAACTCCAAGCACAGCCAGATGACTGGAGCGCGCTGAAAAAATCCGCCTGGTCCTGGTAGCGAACCAGGAACCTCTCCATTTCCAGTGGAGCGCTCTACCAACTGAGCTAACCAGGGGTTAGACGTCAGTAGAGCAAACGGGTTTTATTAGCTACAACCAGTCTAACACAAACGGGGATGAACGTCCTGCATTTTTAAGGTTATGATGCTAATGCAAATAATGCAAAGGTACAGCGAGCTAGACACAGTAAGCGATAATACTTCCTGGAGTAGGGACCCTTCTCCAGGGAGTGTTTATTATCCAGAGAAACTAATTTGCGAAAATGCGATGTTTTGTTTTCTATATTATTTGATAAATGTTCGCGTTTTTATCTGAATTTGAAAACTGCGCGCAATAGGTAAGCTGCAATCTCTGCTTACAATGACGGTTAGAAAAGTAACATAGCTGTTTTAGTCACAGGGTTACTTGTGTCGTCTGCATACCCACGAATGACACGCTCCCGAGATAGTGACCGCATGAGTAAAACAACTTCGTCTTTCTTCTAAGCGTAACTGCAGCAAGGCTTGCAGCGCGCGCGCAGTTTTTACAGCGCAGCTTTTAGGCGACCGTTTACGCGTATAGCAACGTCGCCGTCGGCGTAACCGCCCCGCTATATTTAGCGAGAAACTGAATTGGTGTTGAGGTCATGTGATGTCATTTCCCTAGTAAATTTAAATGGGCATCTAGATAATTGTTGAGGTCACGTGGCGTCAATTTTGCAGCTAAATTTAGCGGGGAAACTGTGGGAGGGGCGGAGGGTATGGAGGAGGAGGAGGGATCGGAGGACGAGGATAGGAGAGAGCGCCAGAGGAGGGGCGGTATGGAGGGAGGGGAGGATACGGAGGAGGAGAGGAGGAGAGGAGAGGGGAGAAAGGAAGGGGAGGAGGGGAGGAGGAGAAGTGGAGGGGTAGGCGAGGAGGATGAGGATGAAATGAGGGGAGAATGAGGAGAGGAGGAGGTTAGGAGGGAGAGGAGAAAGGGAGGAGGAGGGGAGGGTACAGAGGAGAGAGAGGGGCGCACCCTCCTCTCCTCCTTCTCGAAAGATGCACTCTAATTTTGCATTACAAAGATTTGTACACGTCTTACACATTAAAATTTATCACACGATCTCTTACAACATTTACATTATTGACATTTCTTTCAATGTCGCTGAATAATTTTCGTGGATACTGCAACTGCAACATGATCCCTAAAATTATAAAAATTAAAAAGTTAACTGATTTTAGTTCATTACCAAACTTACAATGACGATTAAAATCTCATCTGAAATCCACCGAGCCTCATAAATATAAGTTAAAAACGACACTAAATCTCACCATCTTTTGTTTTAAAAAAAAAGCTGCTTAAATTAAAAATTAAGCACCCCGTATTTTTAGTACATGTATCTGATTCATCTGACTTCGCTTTGAAATTAGTACCTAGTCTCAATATTTGGAATACTATAGCCACATTGTTTTCAAAATTATTGTGCATATAGTATAATGTTTCCATTCCATCTAGCAGTCTTGCAAAAGGAGTTCATGCATTCTGACACAAATGTTTGAAATGCACGTTTCAAGGTTCGTCACTGCAATATCTCATTAGCGTCTCAAGAGTTATTTTAATTCAGAACACATCAACAAATGTGTTCTGAATCGAGTGAAATGACGACCCCATAGCTCTAACAAACAAGAAGAATAACGCTGTATTTATGACTAATAAATGGAAACTCTATAGGCGAACATGATTCGAAAACCGCTAAAAGTCCTGCCGCACGCGAAGTGGTAATTTCTCCCTCTGGACAACTCGGAAAACCGTAAAATTTAGTGAAAAAATTACTAAATTGTCCATATGGGCTTAAACATTCCTCCCTCCTGCTCTTTGCAATTGGTTAGGGGGACCTGCATGATTCGAATATTCAGAGGGGAGTGAAATGACATGCTCTCTATAAACCGAAGTGTAGGACGACCTTTCTCTGAGTAGAGCTCGTGAGGAGACTTCCCTACAACGCCACGAATGATCTCATCACTGCGATAGGTGAAACAAAAAAGGATAAAATTCACACTGATAGTTGATATTTGCGGGGAGATTTGAAAACGTTAACGTTACGCTAAGCATCAAAGCTCAAATCACGTTTGTTATAGATTTACGCTTCATTTCTGTAGTAAATATTTATAATTGCTAACTATGGGCTTCAGAGCAACAGCGGGACAACATTCATAGTAAGGTAGAGCTATATTTCGGTTTATACGGTATTATTTTTGTCGCCACACGCTCAAGTGTGTCAGTTATGTTCAGGATGATTTTTTATTCCTGCAGAGTGGAGACAAAACAAAAAACCACAAAAACGGATGTAAAAAAAAAAAAAAAATTAAAGATATGTGTTTAGTTCTTACTACTGGCCACCACTCTTCGTGTTTACATTAAATATATTCAACCAAGTCGCCGGCATCTATGCTTTAACCTATAATATCCAAATTAAAGCAAATAACTAAAAATACTTAGGTGATTTTAAAAACTGCCCCCCCCCCCCTTTTAGAAATAGAGAAAATTAAACAATAACTTCTACCTAGACATTGACCTCGTGGAATGCTCCTGCGCACGGCAGCGGAGCTAGAAACCACCCAAGTAGATAATCTTGTTGTGAGGATATCAATGAATTTTAATAGTAATTGCTGATTATGCGATAACTAGCGTCTTCCTGCTGGTAGTACACCTTGAATTGTTTCTGCAACTTAAGAGGATTATTTTCTCAATTACAAAGTCAGTACACTTATAAGTATAAAAAATGTCTGCGTCGACTCCGCTTACCCCAATGGGTCTCGATACGAGATGAGAGAAACCTTTTATAAAATCATAAAATTTTTCTTACCAGAAGCGTAATGTGGTCCGGTTTAAACAATTGTATAAAAACAACAAGCATAACTGCTGGACAGCAATATTAAGCGTTCGAATCGTATCGCGTCAAAATTAGGCAGGATTCGTTTTTGCTTGGTGCGTATCTATGCAAGTATAAATGTGTCTGACGAAGCATTGGCAGCACTTTTTTCATACCTTACAAAATTCTCGTAAGTAGAGCACGCGCGACGGTCTCTGGGTATCACAAGAAATGTGCTTTGTTTCACTACGGGTCACGTGAATACGTGACGTGACGTTAGTTTACATGACATCAGTTTACGTGACGTCCCCGTTTCATGCCATTATGTCACATACTGTCAGCATCTTTTGACATGATGTTGTGACGGATAGAACGTAGATTGACGTTGAAATTAAAATTAAACATTTAATTGTGCCAAATTCTGACTAAAACTGAAATAGCCCAACCAATTCTACCTCGGCAACGCAAGAGCGAGTGAGTTGAATCAGTGCGATACCACTTTTCTATGCACGCGCCGTGTTCAGGAATGTTCCAACCAGAACGCACAAGAACAGACAAAAATAAACTGTCGCTTTATAGAAACAAAAAGAAAAAGACAAAAACTAGTGTTTTTAACAAACAAAGAGAAACTATTTGGGACGGTGGGCTTGTTTGAACCCGGCATATTCACTTGGCAGCCGTTCGCGATGGACCGCCAGTACGCACGCGGAAACGTGAACAGATTGATATATTTTTGTCTTTATTAGTGGGAAAGCCTCGAAACAAAATGTAAATAATTTTTGGTATATAACGTATGGGGAACATAAAGATCAAAAAGCCCAAGCCAGCCCTACCACATATTCTGATTTAATAATGCAGTGTAAACAAGATAACAGTGTTAACTATTATATTGAAATGTAACCGGACTCTAACCTAGGCAAACCCAGCGTTTACTTACGTGCCACTGTTCAATTTTCCAAAATAGTCAACCCATTGGGGACCCGTGACAGCAAGGCGGGTGGCAACCATGCCTCTAACCCAGGTGAGGGGAGCGCTGTCTGACCTCACCAAGTTCCAGAGGCTGTCATTGCTGTTTTCTAATGAGGTTTCCGTGATTGCCTAAAATTGAAGTGTATTATTTGGCATGTCACCAGATAGAAAAGGGAGTTGTAGAATGAGAGTTGATCATATTTAGTAGTGCTGCCAAAATATTTTATGAAGTAGTACAAGAAGGTTCGTACTACGGAATTCACATTTATAGAAATTTCGTGCTGAGAAATGAGATATGAAAGGAACAACTCATCATATATCGTTTTGCTATACCCCAATGATTTAGCAAAACTATTTTTATGTACTCAACTATTATTGATGCCTACAACTCTATAAAAAGGCTTCATCTTCAAGGGTTTTTTTCCATCTTTTTTCAGATTGCGCTGGGGGCGCAAAGTAAGCTTGAGAGGGCAAGATTTGAATTGAAGCGTTTTACAACCCTTTTCACGGTGCTTTATGCAAAATCTCGGTTAAAGAAACCAGTCGGCCCAACATTTTATAGAAATATTATCTAGATATTCATAGATGCCAAAACACCGATTATTACAATAGGACAACCATTACTTCAAAATTTGGCAATTTCTTCCTCAAACGTTAGCAAGTTAATTGATATATGTATATATTGGGACAGATCTAGGAAGGCTTGCTTAGTTGTGTTGGCTTGGCGCACCTGATGAGCACTTGTCATTATTTTTGCACACTAAATATTTCCGTTGCACATGGAGGTTGCATGCGGTTCTTCCCACGCGATACAATGTTACAAGAAAAGCAACACATAAAAGTTTTTTTCGTATTTTTCAGCAATTGATTGTTCCTTGCATGCATACTTACTAGGCCACTTGAGGCGAGATAAAAATCGTCAAGAGAAACCAACTTTCCAGGGTATGAAGACATGCTGATTGTGTGACCGGGGATAGTTTCACCTGAAGAAAATATAGGCATCAATCCACCAGGCATATCTGTGGCAGTATTTCTGGTGTTGAAGAGAATAAGAAATTAGCAGACACTAACCTACCTAATTAACTAGAAAACAGATGCATATAAATTACGAGTATAAAGATAGTGCTATGCAATGAAGTTGAAGGATATGAGTAATTATTCTTGAATTACCTGTGTGGAGAGTGAATTGCAACCTACACAGTTTAATTTACCGTCCAAGAACGAAAGAACAAATCTTTATGGGGAAGCAGGCCAGGAAATGACGTTACACTATTCGCGACTCCAGCAAAACGAACGCCACCAAGCTTGAAAACCGGGAACCAGGCGGAACAGGTCGCTTTGCGCCTCTCCGCGTCTCTGACGGCTTTCGCGGACTCGTGTTGTCGGCGCGGGGGAGAATAAGGTAATTTGACGAAGGTCCGAGTATTTCTTAAGTTTGCCTGAGTGTTCATTAGTGTAGTGAAGCCTCAGTAGATTGTTTTCTTCCACCACGTGTTTGAAAGCCCGTTTACTTCACAATAAATGGTCGCTTGCTTTCGATTTCTTGGATGGGAGGAATCACGGAAAATTGTTCTCATTTCTTGTCTGTCAAGAATCACATTCAAAGTGACGACTACTTGGTAAGTGATAAGTGGTTTCTTTATTAGGTTGTAGAACAGTGGCCTGAGGACGGCAAACGAGGTGTTTCACTTCCCATTCACTTGACTGTTGCAGTCAACTGAATGGGAAGGTTAGATAGCTGTTTTTCTTGAGTTTTATTGTGTTCGATTAGCTTCAACATTGAGCCACCCACGCCGGTCGGTACGTTGGCTATTCATCTTGGCCGCTTTTTGCAGAAAAGGCCTCTGGACCACACCGAAGGAGTTGGGCTGATTTCGCAATTACTTGATTCCGGAAAACCCGCTCGCTGCTTACGATTTATGAGGGAAATTGTCTGCTTTCAAAAGGTGGGGGACGCGCCTCACAAAGTTAGAAGCTGTCACGACATTATAATCTATCGCGCCTCCAATATTTATATTATACCCCCGTCGAAGCCAGCAGCAAGAAAACTTGCCTTGCTGAGGTTGCCCGGCCACAAAAGATACTAATTTTCTCCGTGCATGTTTCGAAGTGAAGTTCAATGCAGAGAGGTTCTGCGTAAATCTCCGAAGAAGACTTTCTTAGCGGGAAGTGAAAGATCCTTGCGTGCCGTATTAATACTGCTGGCTTTTATTTTCGTGCGGGTTGCTTTAATTCTTAATGGCAGAAAGAGGCACCAAAATACCCTAAAACTCTCGGTAATTTAAAACGCAAAACCGTTTTGACGATATAATTAAGCATCAAGGAGAATGTCGGATACGTATTCAAACGCGCAGTACGTTTTGGCATCCACAGCAGTGACTGTTCTGAAGCAAATATCGAAAACAAATTGCGCTTCGCATGTGCATGCATTTCTCGGAGCTTTATCTTGATTATTCACTTCGACTCCTTTTAATATACGGAAAGCGAGCCCGTGCACCTGGGCGCGTAATAGTGCTAGGAACTCCGTTCACAACATTATTTTTCGTGCTTCAGTGATTTAGCAAAATATTCACAGTTCGCCAGCATCGGGCTGATATTCCGGTTGTTAGAATCACCCATCGAAGCCTGGTATTTTTTGTGTTGTGAACACTACAAAAATATTTCCTCATTTACTTCCCACAGAGATCTTTGCGAAGCAACTTCCTGCGGTCTAGGGAAGGAGCTGGACAAATGACAAGTACGAAACAGATCTCTACCTAAAAATGAAGTCTGCGATCTGTCATTGAGCGTGGAATGAAGGCGTAATATGTAATGCTCGGCGTCCTTCTGTAGACTTCCTTCTGGAGTTAACAAACTTCTCCGGCTTCAAAAAAGCTGCTTATAAAGAAACTTGGGTTGGTGGGAAGGGCCAGACGTGGAACTCAAGATCCGGCACCGCCATCATAGATTAAAAGCCAAACTTATACATTGAAAATATACAAAATACATGCAATAAAAACATTGAAGTATTTACATCTGCGAAAAAGAAAGCAAAATGCGGCAGAATAAGCCTGAAATCCGCATGGAAGAAGTTAATATCCAGTTGCAGTTCTCCACCACTTAAAAGCTACATCCGCGCAGTGACACGCAGAGGGCGCAATAAAACAAACGGGCATTCTATGACAGCTGACTATAGTGGGCAAATATGTATAAGGCTCGTATAAGAGGGGGGCTGCACTTACTTGACTTCGATGTGAGGTGCCATGGAAACGTGTACTTCTTTTCTATCCTGAGCATGCTTCGATACAAGAACCAGGCGTCGTGAGCAAACAGGATGTCGTCATTGTCGGCCACTACTTTGATGAGCGCTGAACAAGCGGGTGTCTGGTCCACGCTGTACTCGTCGGGTACTCTCTTTAAAACTTTTTCCAGGTCAAGCACATCTCCTTCAATGTTGAAGAGCCTGAAAGTTACCGAACGTTATTCGGTGTTTTCCTTAAAATAGACGGGAAATTCGACTTCTAATCTGTCCTCGCCGCTCCCAAATATATTCGCGACACAGGCTGTGCACTAGTCGGTACAAGGTACCAGAACCAGATTTCAATTGTCTGGGAAAATTGTAGCACGTGTGAATTCATAAATCATGCTATTATAAAAGAGAATTCGCAACAGATTTTTATTTGGTTAATTATATAATCAAAACTACTGTTGTCCAACATCTTCCCTTATGTACTGTTAGAATTCCTGTCAAATAAAGAATTGGCTTTCTTGAAGCTCTCCGTAAATGGCGTAACGTTCACAACAACTTTCCAGCTTAATGATACACTCGCGGAAAAAAGTATTCTGTTTCTTTAGGGCTGGGTATCGCTTAAACATTTTATCTCGATTACTCGACATATTTTAATAGGGAAATGATCGATTAACCGCTGCCGTTACTGCCACGCATAGAGCGACAAAAGGGTAAGAAAAATGTTTTGTTTCATGTTGTTTTTCTTTCGTTCCAAACGCCACAATCTCCATTTTCTGCTGGGGATAAACCTGTGCAGTCGACTACAGTCGAAAGATGCACGAAAATTATTATTCTTCCGGCAAGGTCATAGCAGAAGGAGTTTTCTGGCATTCTTCGACATAACTATCAGCAATTGAGTTTCTTGCTTCTTCACAATTCTTTCGGCACTATACAGGTTTTCCGAGAGACGTTGACCTAGCAGAAATATCACTTTTGAATGTCTGACACTTGTTCAGAACCGAAGAAGCCAGGAGTTCCCCTTTGAAGTTAGCCGTTCCGCACGTTGGCTTTGAAACGATGGAGACAGAACGAGGCTTTTCCGCTAGCCAGTCTACACCATGACCCGTCGCCATTGAGAGGCACGACAAGTGCCTGACACATTTTAAAAGTTGGTAGCTTTGATAGGATTGATTACGTCGATAAAAAGACTTTACTGAAAGATTTTGAAAAAGGTAAATCAAGTCGTCGCCTTGGGCGCCTCCGAATGACGGCCGTCGACGTCCCAGGAGCGAGGGAAAAACCACTAAACCCACACAGATATGCCCCTAACTGGGTGCGCATACAAAGTAAAAAGAGAAAAGCTACGGGACTTTTTACCTCCTAGGGAATCTCTTCCTGCCGGAAACCTGCCGTGTTTGAGGAGCGCACTCTTTGCGCTGGACAAGTTGGAGACCGCGCTGGCGACGGACGCTAAAAAAAGCTGATGGACTTTTCATAAATTGGACACGGCCTTTTTGCAGGAACCTGCCCGGCCTTAAACATGACTATTGTTCTTATTTCTGAGTTTCCTGCTGAAGAGCAAAGTAGAATTTGCGTTCTAGAAAAAATTGCACGGCGGAAATAAAATAAAAATTTGAGAATGGTTTTGTTTTGCTCATCCGGCTTAAAATTCAAAAGAGAATAACTTTGAACGCGATTACATTATTCATTCATTAATCTGACGTTCAATCAATCAATCGCCCAGCTTTAGATTTTTTTCCTCAAACCGTCCATTGCTATTTATTGACGAGAATAGTTGTCTATTATTTGCCTGGTCGTAAATGAGCAGTGATATATGTACTGGTCTCTTACAATACCTTATTGAACTAGCTCAAAATGCTTGAAGCCTTAAAATGAACTTCATCATTAATCAAATCTATCACTTAAGGAGTCCTGAACTCGTTATGAGAATAAATCGAGATGAAGAGGTTGTTTGGCGCTGAGCAACACCAATAAGCAGGCACTGTAAATTAAGTTCCACAAAGCATAACATACTTTTCAACCCGGAATATTGCTTCCCAGTTCCGAGATCACGTATATTACGTTATGAGTGTGGCTAATTTGTCGCATCAGGACGCAACAACTGAATGAAGCGCAGAGGTGAAACACCAGCACTCTATCAGCTTTCTGTTCATTTTGGGTTCAATCAACCCACAATCGAATAGAATTAATTGGTTTAATAATAGAAAAAAACATTACAAGCAAAAATAATTAAAAAAACCGCAAGCGTTCTCTTTCTTAAGCATGTTGAATGATTAGGCGTTTTGAGGGAAAACTTATAACTGCGAAATATTGAGTGTTGTAAGGGACCTGACTTGCGTAATCATCTCTATTCGCCCAGTTGTGCGGTTGCTGTTCACAATCCATATGTGAGCAATGATTCTAACTTACAGTGCCCTGGTGACGTTCAAGTACTCGTTTGATACGTTCAGGGTCTTGTTCTCGAAGTGATCACTCAGGCCGGCAAGCTGCTTCATCTGTAAATGGACCTGTCGGGTCGAGAGAGAAAAAAATTTCAAGAAGGCAGCATTTTTAGTCTGCACTCAAATGGAATTTTCGGGTACGAGGAAATGTTGTCAAACGGAATAAAAATAGAAAATAATATTTGTTAAAAAAAAAAAAAAAAACTTTACTGATTCGTAGTGCTTTCATGTTTTTTACGCAACTAAAAGTGCGACGAGAATACATAGGTAGATTAAGAAAAAATTAAGTTCGTCTGTTCTGCTGTCTTCTTTTAAGTCTTGGTCAGACTCCTTGAGCCGGTTTTGACGATTGAAACCTGCCACCTATAAGAGACCTCCTGCAAGCCTAGCAATATGTACTGACGTTTTGTTCATCTCATTCAAACCTGAAGAATTCAAATATTTTTGCTAAACCTCGACTTTGACTGCATGGCTTCTAGAACACTCTTCGTTTCCAATGCAGTTTCAACGACCTTCATGCGTTTTTCTAAACCAGCGGGTGAATTTTGACATTCTTACGTTTCGATTAGTGGTATGCTGTGTATTTATACACAGCATATTACTAATATAGTGCGTATTTACTTCTTTTTTAAGGAGGCGTTTGATTTTCAAACATTCGGTTACCGATGCAGCGTTTTTCAAAATCCAACCTGTTTTGGCTCGTGCCGAAAGCGAGAGAATAGGGAAGTATCTCCTTGAATAAAACAACTCTATGTGGATCAATATAATTAGCATGTAACACACGTATATAAATATCGGCTTTGTAGTACCAACGTCACTCACGAAACGCCAAGATTTGTTTCACCTTTAAAAATCTAAAACAGGAAATTCTTTATATTTCTGGACTTACACTTCAAAAACACCAAATGACGCATGTTTAACCCGTGGCGCCTATTGCAAGATTGGTTTCTCATTCTCAACTTAATATTACAAAACAAATTAAGGCAGGACAACTTAGAGCACATAAAAAAAAACGCTCGGGGTGCAGAAACAGTAATAAAATTGCGCGATCGCGTGTTAATCCCCAGTATGGTGTCTGGAGCAACGCTACTAGATCAGCTCAGTTGGCAAGCTCCGCATTATCCGCACTTCGGAAAGCCGGCCCCCTCCGTTCGCGCGAGCGTGGTGGCGTTGTCGTCGCAGCCCGCCCGATCCGCAAGGCCGGGCAAGCTCTGGACATGATCGGGACGCTGGCTTTTTATGGCGAAATCAGGCGGTCGGCGGTACGTCGCCGGCCCTTGTGCACTTCTTTTTAAGAAATAACTCTGAAAGTAGATTGTGCTGCAGTCACGATTGTAATTATGCACGCTAACAATTACTTTGATTACTACTTTATAATTCGTCGGATAGCAGCATGGGTGCCTAGCTTTGGGTCTGGCTTCCGAGTGCGATTCAATGTTCGTGTAATATCAAAGTATAACGGGACTTATGTCATAATTGATGTCTCTCATATCCGTCTATGACCAGCATCCACAAGCAGGGGCTCGCGTGCGCTGTCAGCACCGTATCCAGTTCTTGATAAACGCTCCCACTTGTCACGAGAAAATAAACAAAATGCGTTGCCTGCCTTTTTTTGTTACCACAGGAAATCTTCGACAAGGCTAAAATTTCAGGCGGATACTGTGCAACGTTCATTTATTTTTCTTTGCACGGAAAAAACAATCGCGAGCAGAATGCAACACGCCAAGACTGAAAATACCTGTAGTTGGCGATCAGAGGACCCGACCTTTCTTGTTTCTTACTGACTACCACCTTCCTCGGCATCTCTTGATTGGTGCCTGTCGCGTAGAAGAGCATTTGCCTTAAAACGAAGAGGTATTGCAGTTTTCAAAGGTGGACTTTGCACCCTAGCCTTCTTATGTCGCATTCTCAGGCTAGATAAAATGCCTTTATTTTGGCTTCAAATAGGACGCAGAAAAGTCACGAAATCAATAAAACAACATTAACAGTTATGGACAACTGCAACGTTAAGAAAATGGTAGTTAACATACATTGCACGTGCCTCACGCATCGACGCAGACATCGCTGCTATTGAAACATGCAAAATATTTAGCCTCCCGTGATTTGAAGCGACATTTAGATTTTCGCTTCAAAGCTGCGTGTCCCACAGAGTGTACGGGGGAGCACCATCTAGACGCTGTGATTCGAAACGTACGTGTTCCATAGAATACATTGCAGGTACCATACCAGCTGTCCGGCGCGTCGAACGACGGGAGGCAAGCCGTGGTGAGCTCTGCAGCTGAGCTAATGTAATGACGTTGGGGGTAACGTCTCCGCTTTGCACGCACAGGACCCAGGCCCTGCAACGCCAACTGCAACGACTAAAACTACAACGTCAACAATGAACGTAATTTCCAATTGTGAGAAAAGCCCAAACCAGCTATTGCTGTAAAACATCCCAGGATAGAGGACGAGCAAAAGTAGGTCAATCGCTCCTCTGCAGCATTAAACAAATCCTGTTGTATATCATTTCTAAATAAGATATAACCGTCAAAACGTTGAACGTGTTTTTAAAATCTCCCATTACTATAAAATTCAGAAACCCTCCGATAAATTTTTTCAAAACTATATTCAGACAAGAGTTCTGGTTATCAATCAAACTTGGTGTGCAACTTTATAATCCGTCCATTGTATGCGCTCTATATACCAGCTGTATGCTGTGGAGGTACTCTATGACTTTTGTTGTCAAGACATTCTTAGGACCAAAGCGGTATTGTATATAAATGACTTGCTCCTTCTCCCCAGTTTAAAATTCGGATTCGGTTCATAGTCGCTCTAGCAGACACTGAGAGAGTAAAGGGCACCTCCGGTCGAAAACGAAACCAAAATTAATGACTCCTATCGCTTTAGTAGAACAAAATATTATCCTAGCCGAAATACTACGTCAAAGTGAAGCTGCGTACTCCACTAATACCGATTTTAAAAATTCCACCAGCTTCGCCGGCGGCAGGCGAGTTAGCTTTTAGTCAAGCAACACTCGGCTCCTCGTACCGCAGCACCACCGTGGCGTGACAACGCGGCTAGACTGTACTACAAGGACCGAGTGGGGCGACCGGAAAGCTATTTAAAAATCTCCGCATGTGAAAAAAAAAAAAAAAAAAAAAAAAAAAAAAGGCTAATTTAAGCCACTTCGCTCGTAGCGTCCTCTCGGACACACGAGCGAAGCGGTTCGGATTAGCCGGTTTTTATGAAAAACGCGTTGCGTTCCAACGCCAAGATTGTTCCACAAGCGGCGGCGCCGAAAAAACGCTTCGGTCGTCTCACTCAGTCCTTTCTAGTACACTCTACGAAGGTGGCGCTGCGATCGAAGTGGCTTGGGTCCACCTGATCGCTTTCCTCATTTTGAGGTGCAACTGAAAGCATGAGCGGAGCCTGTAGCTCGTCCCACTCGTTCCTTCTAGTACACTCTAACGCGGCCGTACAGCTGATATCAGTGTTGCCATCGTTCTTTAGCAGTTAGTTTGGGTCTTGCCGTAGACGCCCGAAACGAAATGCTGAGCCGTGATATTTTTAAAACCACCCGCAATAGCACGAAAAAATTATACTTCGTAATTCGAGGACACTGACTGAGCTGAAGACAGACGTCATCATAAATTCTAAAAGTATTGTCCGGAGTTGGCATTTAAGAAACGCAGTGATCGGTATATCATGTTCACAGGTCGCTTCGTGATTTATTTGCAGCGTTTTTATTAGCTGATTTGCAGGCATGAAATGACTCATCACTTTCCCCAACCTCCTAATGCCAACCCGCATAGTCGTGTCGTGACAAAAAACAGAAATGCTTACTGCAAATAGTGGACCTCTTTGAACCTAAAGACCTACCATATGCCAATAAGGGTCCGTAGATTCATAGAGCCGCTCGTGGCTATTCGAGTACTCGAGGTTTTCCTGGAGGAATGTCAAGAGCCTCTCGCAGTACTCAGGCTGACCATTGCAGTAGCGGCTGTACATGTTGTTATACTGTTTTTCCATGAGGTCGTGCGTAAGGTAGGCCTCCACCGCACCGGCGGCGTACGCCTGAGCGTCGTCTGCATACGAACCGTTGGACTGCAGCTCCAGGAATGTCCAGCTTTAAAGAACGGACATCAGGACATCTGTTAGTCGTCAGAGGGACACTCCAGTCAAAAACGGCAACTGTTATACTTTTTTGCATACACGCATAATCAGCTCGCCTACATGAAGACTAACACTTGCTTGTGGGCAGTTGTTTTAGTTAAAATAAATAATGTTTTAAATTTTAATATTGTTACGCCTTAATTGCATGAAAGCTTACGTAACTCTTAATTACTGAAAAATGCTTTATAGTAGTTAGTGGGAAAATTGTATTACGTTTGCACATAAATGTTTAAAGTTACTAAGCAGGGTGATATACGTCAAATGTTTAGCTAAGTTTAGTTTTTACTTTATCTCAGTATACTGTGTTTTTATTTGCCATCTTCAGTTTTATTTCGCTATAGATACTACTTCAACTACTGAGTGTGCGTACCAGGACGGCGTTTTGTAGGAAGAAGAAGGAAAAATTAAAATACCGAGGTACGTTTGTGAAAATTGTCAAGATAAATAAAAAAACGATGGATTTATAATAGTGAAACTTGAATATTTTTATTTAAAACTAAAATAGAGGAGTGCCTTTTGAGCGTTTCAAAGCTGATCAAACAAAAACAGTTGCTTTTGTAACACTTGGAAGGTATCTTTTATTCTTCGGCAGTAATTTATGTAAATATAGGAGGCACCGTGCACTCCATCGTATTTCTGCATTAGTAATGTTGTCGCGAATGAACGGGCGAGGAAACAAAGAATAACTGGCGAAACTGAAAAGTTTAATGGGGGGCGAACTTGTGCCCAAAAATGAAAAGGAAACAAAAGATAACAGCAGAGCGTCGCGGGCGTCTAAGTCGGCGAAAGAGCAGAGTCGAGCGCTGGGGCGAAAACTGACTCGACAAGGTCGCGGGCGGCCTCTTCTCTAGAGTGAGTCACTATCTCAAAGATTCGGCGGAAAAAGTTCGAGCGTAGCGCGCTCGGGGCGAGATTGAACACATACTTTCTAGAAAAACAAAAGCAGGGATAAACGATGGAAGCTAGGTCCGCAGCAAGAATAAACGAGAGCCTTCTAGAAGTCCGTGACCCTGTGCGCGGCAATATCGACAAGTTATAAACGATCTTTCTTAAAGGAACCTCGTCCATATCTTGCCAGTATTGCATGTTTCTCATAAAAAGCTTGCGTCGCGTGCACACGCCACGCAAGTTGTTTATAAGGAACATGCAAAATATTGAAAACAAATGTTAGTATTTATTACAAAAGTTTCATCTGCCCCTTCACCGCCTTTTTTCAGACCTACCACGAACGAAGTGGAAAAACGGCTGACTTTTTTTTTTGTCTTTCCGAAAGCTTCAGAAGGATGTTTTAAGAAAATACTGCAACGAAACACGACAGCCCCACATTTTATCGCGTTATTACGAATGTATACGCTTCAAAGTGTGTTCAGAGGCGCAAATCAGCACTACCTGTCGCTAAGTAATTAAGGTATCAAATCGAATTGTTGGAAGTCTGTTGGAATAAAGAGCGCGATGAAAATTGAAATTATTTTATTACTGTGTTATGCCACTGAATAATGTATCTTATTGTACAGCACAATGTATATTCTGGTTTGCTTCAGTGTCTGCTCTCCTCTTGCTCGCTGGTCCCGATCAGATATTTTCCCAGCTTTGGAGCCAGGGAGGCTATCAATACCGCCCATCTCGTTAAATTAAGTTTCAACATTGGCCCAACATGTGTCCATGCAATAAGGCTAATCGATTATTTATACTAATTTCATAAGCAACAGGAGCATCTCACCGGTTTTTGATGGGAGTTTCAATATATCAGACCAACTATATTTTAATTGCCTTATCCGCAGTGCGACCACGTAGCCTGAACTGGGCTATTTTGTTCAAGTGAATGGATGAGAGCGCAGTTTGCACGCGCACAGCAGGTTGTATAAAAGGCTGCATCACTCGGGTGCGCTTTCCCAAACGAGTTAATATTACCAGAGAACTCACCAAAACAGATGCCTAATTTTGCAAATAAACCTTTCGCACCCTTTATATGCGCCGTTTGTTATACCCCTCGCAATATGACCAAGGCAGATGTCGTACAAGTGCGTATGCGAGACGTTGATGGCACATCTTAAGCTACGGCACTTTACCCGCCTCTGGTAATTTTGCGAGGATCCAAAGAGCGCGAGTTTTCTTCTGATATTCCTCCTGAGTGCATTACAAACTTTTCTCACGGAAAGTACGGAGCGAACCAGCTATCAGCGGCTTTTTCTGCTATGCTCACTGTATTAGAGGATTGTTGGCAGAACTAGTACAGTGGTGGAGAGTGCTCAGTTAAGGTATTAATTTAAGTAGCGGCTAGTAATGCCCCCATCACCCTTTTGAAGTAAAGTGTAAACAAGTATAAAAGTTGTGTTCGCGCTAACAGTGCCGCGCAGAGCGCATCCATGAAACTTGGTGTTCACGTTGACATCGGCAAAAGACAATTAGTTTACACAAAAAAGCAAAGCTAATGATGCTAGTGTTTAGATGTCTCATCTTAGGCCTCAACGATTTCAAATCAAATCAAATCAAATCAGTTTATTTTCACCTTGCACAAAGATAAAGAAGCTGTGGAAAAAAAGCTGCAGCATTGCAGCTTGACGAGTTCACAGACCCTTAGTATTCGCAGCTAAGCAGCATCCTGCTAAAGTACTTACAAAAGAAAGAAAAAAAAAGAGAGAAACAAAAGAAAAAGGCGGGAAGAAAAGTAATCTTAACAATACATTGCAACAACACACTCACCAAAGAACAAAAAAAAAAAAAAAAAACACATTGTGATCATAAATGTTTAGGGCGCACACAAGTAAACAAAAAACAAACCGTAAAAAATCATACTCTGTCAGTTTCATACATTCTACGGAGTTCACTGTACTTACAGGTAAATAAATCAAAATGCACAAGACTTCCTTGACTTGTTCCTACAAGTCAAGGAAGCAAGATTGGTTCACTAATATCTTGCTTGGATTCACTTAATTGGGTGAAGTTTTCTGAAAGCTAAACGTATTTTGTGCTAAATAAAATTCAGATAATCTATTTAGTTCGTATCCCGCTTGTATGAAATACATTGGAATAGGTACGAAGGAGGAACGTTTTAGTTCATGTAGTCGCTTTTATGCCAAATAAAAGATACACAGGCGTCTATTGCGCAAACTTTACGTAAGTAATGACTTTATTGGAGACATGTGGGCACTTGTGCTTACGAAAAAAAAAAGAAACTGGGGGTACGGTTAAGCTTTGCCTTTAAGTTGGAACTCGATAGCGTTATTGAATCCTGTCGAAAATCCTTCTCATAAAAATGAGGACTCTTTGCCAAGCCGTGCAAGCGTGTGTGGGTGGCCTAGTCGGTACCGTCACGCGTGATGTGACGTCGTACGTTGTTTTCAGGTTACCCTAACGACCCTCTAAATTTGGCGGGAACATTTTTCGCTAGATTTAACGGGAACACTTTCCGCTAAGTTTGGCAGGAAAAGATTATCCTACATTTCACGGAAAAATATCCCGCTGAACCCCATAAAGCAACGAGCGCAGCCACGTGTGACGTCACATGTAGGACACGTGGCTGCGTGCGTTGCATTCTGGGAGTTTTGGTCCCGCCAAGCGCCGCAAATTCTGCAACACGAGCTTCTAAGAGCTATCGCGTCAGTAATGCTGCGTTCCGACTGCCCATGTTAAATATATACGTATGTTAAGCTCTATACAAAATTATGAGTTCGTATTCGTGATACATAATTATTTTAAGCCCCAACTTAGTTAAATTAGTTTTAATGAACAGTTTCGTTCACCTTTCCTCGACAAGGTGCACTGGTCCTCGGATTATTGTATTGTGTACCACAATGTCCATCACCCGTTCTGTGACTCGATCACCTCCCGTTCTGAAACTGAGTGAACTTCTGATCTGGCTCTACCAAAGAAAAGTGCTAGAAACCATTTTTATAAAACGAATGAGCAGACACGCAAAAGATAGTGCTTACAAATAATTAAGTACTATCAGACAGCATATATTGTGAAATAGCCCGGTCAATTAGGAAAGTTTGATCCAAAATGACATACTCATTCTTATATCTAACACGTCAGTTGAATGGGTGAATGTAGTCTATAAATGGTTCGGCGCAAAGTTTTCAAATGGCAAACAACTCATTCTAGAACTATGTACGGAGCAAGTAATTTACCGATTAAAGGTCGTCACTGGGAGCATTCTATTTTATACGGAATAACAGGGTTTGCATTATCTCACAGTAAATAATCATCATACCCGCTGAAGTGAATGTCATTCTGGAAAGATCCCCAGGCAACGGCCCCTTGACCGGGCTTGCCGTCATGAATGTGCAGGTCCCCTCCAGATGTTCCAAGTGATGCCCAAGCATTCTGGCACTTGGGGTCTTCGGGGGGCTCGGCTGCTGCTTGCAGCGCCAGAAGAGCAGCAATTGCCAAGGTCATGAACATGTCCCTGAAAGCAAGTACGTACAATACGTGATACCGTTAACTTAGACACACGATTATCTGCTTTTTTTTTCAACTGTATCCGAAATGCGAAAAAAAAGATATATCACAAACTAAAAGTCAGTTTTAAATAAACCCTTTCCCGTCATGAGCATAATTTGAAAATCGTGCGCTAGCTTGTTTGGCGAGTGCGAACAATTGCTTATTCCTTACTTGGGCAGACGCTATTGGACACTGTACTTAAAAAAGGCATTGCATTTTTTTTTCCTATTTCAAAATATTAACTTATTAAAAATGGAATATATAAATCGAGGCTATTCTTGCTTTGCTGCCTGCACCTCTTCATGATGTATATATGATATTCCTGTCCTTCTGTTTACTAAAGTCACATGACGATGATTTCATTTAGTGTGAAGTCATGCAGGTCTAAACCTAAATGAAAAAGTGAAAATATATCCACAAGAAAAACATAGAAAACCAGAAAAGGGACAACTTTACACATGCTGGTTAGAGGTAATTAGTTTTTTTTGTGCTCTTCTTTAATATTTTTAATAAATGCACCAACAACGGACATCGAAATATTCATATTCTTTATATTCCACTTTACTTTTTTCTCCAGCCATAAGCTGAAGTGTAACTTGTTCTCAAAAAGCGTGCTAAGAACTCTTCCTTAGCACGCTTTTTGAGAGCTAGTTACACTTCAGCTTACGAAAAATCTCTCTTGAATGTGGAGCACCAGGGGCACTCCCTGGTGCTCCACATTCACGAGAAATTCTCCAATACCGGAAAATATCAAGTAATCAAATCCCGTTATAACTGGACTCTGCATAAACTTCTAACTTACGGTACGTTGTGTGACGCAGCAGGCTGACGTGTGTGTTCTTTATTTCGTACCTACGATTGTCGATGCTTTCTATGGAATATTTCCCTTGCGAATAATAAGCGTTGCTAATCGGGAATTCACACGAGGAAAAAATCCGATACAAACCTCGCGGAGTGCTCGTCACGTGATCATGACGTCGCGCCTTTCTAAGGCGGCGCGGTGACTTCAAGCTTCGCGACGGAGTCGCGGAGGAAATGCTCAGACGGTATACTCCCCCGTTTCACGATACCTTAGCAAACTGTGGAGACTAAGGCCCCGCGACCCAATAAGAGCGTCGAAGCGAAGCACCTGACCCGCGTCAAGGCAGCATTTGTGTCACTACGCCAAATGAGGTGCGCGCAAGCCGGAGTAACCGGCTCTCTTCTGCTAGACTAGAGTCGTCTGCTCCGACACAAACCAACTTCGGATGAACGTCCACCGCAGCAACACTTCCGTCCGCTAGAATAGCGAGCACTTTGGGAAGAATTCATGAGACAACCATACGCTCAATTTAGCCGCGAATATTTGGCGGGTCCTATTGCCAGGCCACAGTGGGATCTTTTGATCGGCAACGGCCATGGCGCTATAAGAAGGGGGAAAAAATCGGAAGCGGATACGAATGTGGCGTCGCTTCTTTTGTTTAATTGTAATTGAAACTCAAAGATTTGTAATGACTGATTCCTTATTCTTCCTATCTTCTCGTCAGATATGGAATCGCGCGAGTTCATTTGCCATTAAATGGAAAAGAAGTCAAGAATTACTTTTTGCTGCGGACAGTGCTTTTGCTGTGGAGGTAACGAGGCCCAGGTCTGAGGTGAGGAGGCACGCCTCGCCGGCTCACGCCGCGCAGCTTTGCGCGGGAGTTTCTTCCTCGTTTGAGTGCCGCATAAAGCTTTGGTGTTCTCGGGACCATGTTACGTGATGGAAACGATAAAAGTTTAAAATTAATGATGAGTGCTTAGTTTGCAGCGTAATGTACGATATACAGGTGTGCAATAAAATTTTCATTGCAGTTTATATTTTCAAGTTAATATAAAATTCTAATAGGGTAATGATCTTGGTATGTTGCCTACCCATTCGATCGGTGGTGTATAATGAGTATTTTAATTTGTTTGGGTTCCTGCCTGATGCAAAGCAGCTAGTAGATGTTTGTTGGGAGATAAGAAATAAAAACGGAACACATATTTTATCATTGATAAACCAGAACATCTGGGAGAAATTGCAATAGGTTGTATATATTTGCCGCCATAGTTGAGTCCGCTGATGCTGCTTATGAGCTTATTATGAGCTGGGACAACGCTTCTACAATGAGGCCTCCACAAAACTAGGATTAGGTTTCTAGAAGTTTAATGGGGGCTCATTTTGACCATCCACTGTAAACAAGGGCACGCCAATATGGCACCCAGTGAATGCCACCTGCAGGTAAAGACGGTTACTCTCCTTATGTGCTTTTCCTCTGGCACACCGCATCCTTCCTTATAAGAGAGTTTTAGAATAGGGGGCACAACTCTTTGGCTGCCTGGACTTGCTCGAGGAGCCCAAAGTGCTGGGAGCCCTATTGTAAAACGTACTCTTATTATGCTTCAGCGTGTTGGAGACAACGTTACTGGATTGGCTCAGTTGTGGAACTGCGGCGGAAGGGGGTACCTGCCTCACCCCTTGAGTCCGCCTGGCGTCAATTTAAGAGCCATCCGAACTTTGGTTTGAAACCTCTGTGTACCATAGAGTACGGTGAAGCACCATCCGTGCAGCTCTACTTGAAAACCTATGTATTTTATAGAACACACTGCAGTTACAATAGCTGCCGTCAACAGAACGGTGGCGGCTCGAACGACTAGAGGTGGTCTACGGTGGACGAGGGTATGGTTCATTGAAGTACTGTCTATAGGCTGTTCCGTAATAGAGCTAATCTAGTAACGTTGGTTTGTGATTCACAGTAGGAAGCAAGAGTGCAAAAGGGCGAGGACACAACAGGGAGACACATACAAGAGACAAGCAAAAGGCGCCGACTTAAGCTCTTGAGTATTTCTTTTTCACATCTTCGCGAAAGAATGGGTGGAATAGTACAACTGAAACAAACACCCGTGAAATCTTCACACTCGCCCCAAAAAGTATTCGAGGAAGAAAATATCGCGATGGCTCCAAGATGCACATGTCCCCACCCCTCCTCTGTAATTATTGAGAAGGAATCATATTATTGAGCGAAAAGGTAAAATTGACGAGTTTGTAGACTTCTCGAATGACTTTTTTCAATAGTGTCATTCTATACCATTCAAAACAAAATATTATTTTATGCAACAGAGTCATATTCTAGCAAAAAGTCGTCAGGGCTTCTGCGAAAGTAAGCTACACATCGACGAATGCTCATTCTCCATCCACCCAAATGTAGCGCTTTTGGTCCGAAACAGATTCCAAAGATTCAACGCTAACCATTATCATATTTCAAAGGTTAAAAGTGAATTTTTGAAAAATTCAGTGGAAAATAGTAGCCAGTTTTCGCCCATTTTCGGCGACTGGCGTTAAAGCCAGTCGTCCCACTCTCGGCAAAACTTTAAAAAGAGGAATCACTTAAAACTTTTGAATGAACTGACGGTTAGTGATGGAACTGTGGTATATGTTTCAGATCGCTAGAGCTACATTTGGATGGAAAAGAAGAGTTCGGCGATGCGTAGTTCATGTTTTAGTTAAAACAAAGCCTTTTAAATATTTTGATAGGGACACAATGTATAAAAAACCTTAATTTTAACGCACTGAGGCAGGTAGGACTCATGCTTTTTATCTTACGCATTGTTGGCTAAACCCGGGACTATGAAGCCCGACCTGTCTCCGACCATTTGCCTACCAAATCGTGCACCGACAGACCGTACGCCGATTGTTATACTGAACGGGCCCACTGACCGCCAGTACATTCGACATTACAGACCGTACCGCTGCACTGGAATTGTGCTCAGAACACCTGCATCGTCACCTTTACCAACAGATCGCACTATCGCTTACCGAACGATCAACAGATCCATTAAAGGAATACTGACCTAAAATGTAAAGTTTAAAAAAACCATGCCGGAGCGAGTTTCCAGGGCTGATATACAGTATCCAAATGCTTGGTTCATACAGATGGATGATGCTCGTATTATTGTAGTTCTTTGAACAAATTTCTCTAGTCACGCCGATCGGGCGAGCCGTCAGCCGGAAGCAGACGGTGCGAGCGAGGCTTTCTAGGAGTGACCGTAGGGGAGCTAACTTATATGCCATTCACACGATCATAAAGGTACCTTTAGCTATGGCAATTTTATGGCGGACGGCGAATCAGTTCGCGATTCTCCGCGCGCGGCATCTGCTCATAACTCAGGTGCGCAGGCTGATTAGACGATTGCAAAGGGAGCTATGTTTAAGGTACCTTTATGCTGGCCATGTGAATAGGGCATTATGCTTCCTGCTTTCTCTCTTGTTCTTCATTCTTCGTGCGCCAATATATTGTTGGACGTTGTACACAGCGATGTTCAGAATTAGCTCCCATTTTTTTTACTTCCGCGAAGCCTAATCTGATTGTGTGTAAAGGACTTTCAATATGCATCCGCCTACATATCTCGTGGGATGAAAAGCCAAACTTTGGCTATCTGTGCCCTCGCGGACCCTGAGCACCGATCCAAGCTGTGCACGCGCGGTCCTCGCTTGTTCTCAAATGCCAAAAAACGTTGTCCTCTATTGACATTCTTCACAAGAGCGCCGCCATCTTGAAATGTCGTCACTTCCAGTATGGGTGAAAACATTGTTTTGCCATCGCCACGCCAATAGAATGCATTTAGGAAATAAGCGTAACCGTCACCCATTGTCGTTTTGTCTCCCCACTATTTTTTTACTAATTAGAGGTTGAAATGTTTTAATATTTTTTCGTCGCCCATGCCGGATATGCTTACTTGGTGGTCGGGGGCGAGAGTATGCGGAAAAGGTCTATACTCCGTACACCCTTAATTAAAGGGGCGATGTAACATTTTTTCTACTTTCAGTAAATACGACTTAGAAATCATCCTTGAAATTTATGACCTAGGAAACACAAGTTGGTTTCTTTCTTTACGCAATGGCAGTTGCAAAAAACAAGTTCGAGTAAAACGAACACCGTTTTCCTCCTCAATTCGCAGTCAGAA